AGTTCCTCAAAGTAGGCGTCAAAGAAATAGGGACCCGGTTCAAACAGGCAGGAATGTCTAATCTGACTGGGGTGATCCACTTCACAACCCAAACAGATTTCTTTCAGCTTTTTGTTGATGACGTGTTCCAGAAGGACCACAACAGTCGCTTTTATGATTTTGAATCCGTCCGAGCGGATACAACTGTCTGTGTTGTCAATTCCAGCAAGGGCCGCAGCTCCAGCTATTGCACCAGTGTTGCCGTATGGTGTTGTAAGGAAGGTCATGTTGTGATATCCAAGATCCATGCAAAATTTATCCAACCAACTGTTGTCGCAAGTTTGTGGGTGGGGCTCCAGCGGCGTAGCATTGTCATCAGGCATCGCTGGGGGAGCCTCAGGGTTGTTGGTGTAGCAGTAGACTGTTGTAGATTCTTGAGACATGGTGAATGAATGTAGCAATTGTACCGATCTGCAGGCGTTTTTAATGGCTGTAATACGTGGGTGGGGTTAAGAGGCGGTCTTCAGCGTTGGTAACGCCCTGCTCAGGGTGAAACAATTTAATCTTTACAGAACTGTAACGGTCATACATGTCGCACCATCTAAACATCTTGTCGATGCATGTAAATACGTTGTCAAGCGTACGAACATCTTTCCACTGAAACAAAAATTTCATGTCGTAGCACAAGTGATGCTCAGATTCACGAACAGGCCACGCACGTTCGCAGAGCTTTGTCTTGTCGTTGCAGCAGAAAATATAAACACAATCGTCTGGTAACTTTTTACTATGGTCCCCGACCACACGAAATCTTGTGTCAGGAATTGAGCCATCCCACTCGGCTACATACAACGGATCATCACCACAGTCGTTCAAATCTCTCCAAACGTAGTTGAAAAACAGAAACCAGTCCTTCTTGTGGAAAATCACACATGGGGTCTGTGATGTAAAATCGTCTTCAACATCTCCTGTGTAGAGTTTCACAGTACGCATCACCTTGTCAAACACATACCTCACCACACGACCACCAGACATTGAGAAATCCTGTTTCACAAGAGCACTGTCTTCATGAAGAAATCTTGTCAAGCTAACATTTAGCTTTTTCCTTGGAGCAAAAGTTAGATCTTCTCTCATTTCAACAGGTCCTCTTGTCGGCGAAATACACATAACTTTTCTAGGGGTTTTAGGAGTTCTCGGAGTAGCCATTGTATCAGGAAAGTCGTAGAATGTCTTCTGTGTTCAACAGTGTAACCCCTAACCTTATTTAAAACTGCAACAAAAGACGTAGGTAGTGACGTAGTTGTGAAAAAGGCACACCTCATACCATAAAAACTACAATGGCAAGTTGCGAGGTGTGAGTTCGTTAACCCAGTCGTAAAAACCAGTCAAAAATGTAACATCTGTTTGATCTGTTTGTTTGTTTTTTAAAAGTCCCCGGACATCGGCACGGAGGATGTCACATGGCGTCGCGCAGCCTAGACATACCGGAGCCTGTCAGCGACCCATCATAAATCAGAGACAGGGGAACCCCAGAACCATAAATCAAAGTCATAAATCACCTTTTTTGACACATGGTTTATGTTAATACTACTAGTATGCATTACTGCCGCAAGGAATAATGTCCGACATCCCGGAAATCCAACTCTTTCCTTCAGACGACGAACTGACAAGCATTCCTGGGTCACAGCCAGTCACACCCCGCGTGAGATCGAATCTTACGGATCATCTTCATGAGCGTTCTGATCGAGAAATCCAGCGCTCATATAAACCACTTTCCAAAAGGCAACGCTCTCCTCCATCTTCAAGATCAAGAACTGAGCCTCGTCCATCTTCTCTCCATTCTTCCGCTGCTAATACACCGATTCCACCCATTTCAAAATGTTCAGTCAACAGCCTACGTCAAGTCCTCTCCAGCTCCGGAATCCATTTCTCCTGCAGATCAGCAAAAGCTCAACTCTACGATATTTTCATCAGTTCTTACAGTTCCACCATTCCATCAAACACTTCAACATCTTATAAAGGCAAGACTCACACCTCTTCTACCTCCGTTTCTCTCCCGGTTCGGCGTTCTGAACCCACACAATCCCAACGCGCCGATCCAAAGGCCGCCGGCGCTGCCGCGGCTCACACTTCCTTGTCCGCCGGTATTTCCACCCGGCCTGCAACAGCGGCCGCAAAAAACAGTTCCGCTTCTTCTCCAGCTCTCACAAACTTCATGCAGTCAGCCCCACTCCCCAGGCAAGAACCAAACTCACAAACACATTCCTCCGCACTTCCCTCTGCTTCTCCAGTTCTCTCTAAACTTCTTTATAATAACCCTTGTGCCAGGTCACCCTCGCACACAGTTACATTTTCTCTCACCCTCAAACCAACCTACTCAAAGAGCGGATCCTAGCGCGAGGTTGCCTTCGCTAGCCATCTTCCCTCTTTCCTTCCATTCCAATTCGCCTCACCCCTTTTTCCCCTTCTATCTTCCAATTGTCTCCTAATATTCTTTCCAGTTCACATCAGAGCGTGAGGTTGCCTCAGCAAAGGATTTCTACACTTTTCCACACAAACCTCCCCTTCCTCTCTCTTCAGGCCATGCCAGCCATCTTGGACACCAGCAGTGTTCTTCTGCTTCGTCTTTTACTGGCGACTTGCAACCAATTGGAGCATTATTGCCACCTACTGTATCTTATTTACTTTTGCTTAAATCCTTAGGTTTAGTCCAGTTTGTTGTAGATAAGATGATATGATTTTAAGCACCATCTTTCTGGATTTATTTGAGAAGATATTTGTAATGTTCATTTGTTTGATTCCTTCATGTTCCAGTCCATTCCTTAAATCCATTCTTTGATTTGAGTATTTAATACACTCAAACAGCACATGTTCCACAGTTTCCACCAGCAGTGTTGGGGAGTAACGGAATATATGTACTGGCGTTACATATTCAGAATACAAATTATGTGTAGGCCCATCTGTATTCCGTTACAATTTAAATAGTTGGTATTTAACCTCTTAACCAGCAGGGGGACGTGGGCGGGCCGTAGGGGCGTGTTTATAATTTTATTACCTTTGTTTTATAACAAATATTCAATCAACTATCATAAACTATGCATCATTTGAAAGCTAAAACGCTCAAGAATCACGTTCTGAACTTGTTTTTGCAATCAATACACCAGAGAGGTAAGGGTTAATTTAAATGCTGACAGACCGACCCTGTAAATATGAACAAAATGAACGGCAATACTTATCTTTCATCTCCTATGGTTCAGATCAGTTCGGACGAATCCAAGAAACACCAGCATACATTTCAATGTAAGGGTCTACTCTTCAAAATGCATCCCACTTTTTAATCCAAAACAACAAAAAAATAGGGAAAAAACTGAAATATCCTCCTCAGTTTTCATGAGCGCTTCCAGTTAGAGTAATCCATCATGTTCACTTTCGATGAAATAACAATTCTAATCTGTATTCCAATGTTCAAAAACGATCTCTCCCCCGTAGTTTAGACTGTTGACGATAAAATGAGTCCTTCCATCTTTCTCTCCTTCAATCACAGCCTCTAAAAATGACCAAAATATGTAGGGAGCGCATCTACAGGCTCCTCCACCTGTCACTCTCGCACCCCGGTTTATGAGTGGATACAATCCATCCAATGTCTGATCAGCAAAGTTTTGATGGATGGGAGTATCAACCAACTAAAACACGATTGCAGTGATTGACAGTTTGCTTAGTTTACCTCAGCAGATCTGTCTAATACAAGTGCGTCCACTCGTGCGCTCTTCGTCATTTTACGCACAGCGCGCACAGGTTAGCCATTGTTTTGCTACACGGAGCTCATTTCAACCGGTTTCAACGCGCAGATTTATTCTAACATTATTTCTAACAATCTACATCATGGATCGTCGACTGAAGAGGAGTTTTTGTGGTGTTGAGAGTGTTTTGGAGGAGGTAATGAGGAGTAGCGACGAAGAACAGCAGAAAGACGCAGAAACAGACATCTTGGACAGAGAGAGCACGGTGTCGAGTGTCGATTCGGCTGAAGAGGAGATGTTTCTCCATGGACTCGATCCCGTATTAGATCGGTAAGTTTAAACACATCGTCTTGAGTTTTTATTTTTATGAAGTATTGGCAGTTTTTCTGTTCATATCATGTTTTTGATTATAAAATGACTAGCAAAGACACGAGGCTACACGAGTAGCTAGGTGATAGCTGTATATTATACATAAAGACATAATATTTATATCACACACACACATTATATTTATGATGCATATAATATAACAATAATGTAAGGTGAAGATGTTTTTGATTATAAAATTGCAGTGGAGAAGACTAGCAAGATATGAGATTACAGTTCTAGGTGTATATGAATAAATGAATGCTGCATTCATTGAATATAACAATAATGGAAGGAAAGGATTACAAGATGTCAGGTAAAGATATGTGGAAAAAATAAATTATTACAAAGCATTTATAATGCTGAGCATTATAAGCATAAGATTTTTGACAATTAGGCATATGTTATTGTAATATGATGTAATATTGATGCTCCTAATAGTAGTTTGTCTCTAATATTTGACTCAAACTGAAATCCTCGTGTGTGTGTGTGTGTGTGTGTGTGTGTGTGTGTGTGTGTGTGTGTTTTCCTGTGCTGTAAAATAGGCCTTCAACTGAAACAGATGAGGACTGGAATCCGGAGTCCAGTCCTGAGCGACGAAAGAGACCACGTCAGTCGTCTTCATCTTCTGCGTCTCCATCTGAATCTGCTTCAGCTACCAGAGGTAAAGGTACAGGTAAAGGGAGAGGAAGGGGAAGGGGAAGGGGAAGGGGAAGGGGAAGGGGGAGGGGGAGGGCGAGGGCGAGCCAGTCAGTGCCTACTGTGTCTCTTAGCACCTCACAGGAAAGATGGCACAATGTTGATGAGGAGGATATTGGACCTTCGCCGCCTGCATTTCGGCCTGCTCGTACACCTGGGCCACAGTTGGTGACAACTGCAACCTACACAGCACTGCAGTTGTTTCATCTTTTCTTTTCAATGTCTGTGCTGCAGACCATCGTTCAGCACACCAATGTATATGGGGCCAAAAATCAGCAAGGAAGAGAAAAGCCATGGAATACCATCTCGGTTGAAGATTTCAAGTCTTACCTGGCACTTGTTGTGTACATGGGTCTCGTGAAGGTCTCTGCCCTGACTGATTATTGGAGGAGGTCCCGAATCTACAGTCATCCCCTTCCTGCTGAGATCATGTCCTGTAGGAAGTTTCATACCATCACAAGCGCTCTTCATCTTAGCGATCCTCGGGATGATGAAGAAAACGAAAAGAAGAAGGGAACAGCAGCCTACGACCGCTTGGGGAAGATCAAGCCTCTCTATGACAACATTAGGGATGCCTGCAGGACATTTTTTCATCCAAATCAGAACATCTCCATAGATGAAAGGATGGTGGCATCCAAGGCGAGGTCTGGACTCAAGCAGTACATGAAGAACAAACCCACTAAATGGGGCTACAAGCTTTTTGTCTTGGCAGACTCCCTGTGTGGCTACACCTGTGAGTTCTTCGTGTACGAGGGTAAGTCAATGCCATCTCAGAAGGGGCTGAGCTATGAGTCTGTCATGGCACTCGTAGATGAAAAGATGTTGGGCACTGGTTACAAGCTATACGTCGACAACTTTTACACTAGTCCCATGCTTTTCAGAGACCTCCTCCATAAGAAGATTTGGGCATGTGGCACCATTCGTCCAAACAGGATCGGTTTCCCAAAGACAGTCACCAACAGACTACCACGGAATGCTCCACGAGGGTCCATGCGATGGCTAAGAGAGGATGAGCTGCTGTTTGTGGAATGGAAAGACACCCGGGAAGTGCTGATGTGCTCCACATTCCACAACGCATATAAAGGTGACACAGTGCGAAGGAGGTTGAAGAACAAAGATGGGCAGTGGTCTGAAGTGCAAGTGCCTATTCCCTGTGCTGTGCTGGACTACAACAGGTTCATGGGGGGAGTGGACCTGTCCGACGCCCTCATTGGGTACTATAAAGTGCTCCACAAGACACGGAAGTGGTACCGAACCTTCTTTTATCACTTTGTGGATATTGCTGTTGTCAATGCCTTCATTTTGCATCAGCATCTGGCCAGAGCACGGAATGAAAAACCCCTCACCCAGAAAGCATTCAGGGAAACGCTTGTTCTGGAACTCGCAGGCCTAGAATCACGGACAGCTGCTCCTCGGGCTTCAAGTGATGCTTGCCACAACCCGACACACATTACAGATGACAGCACTGCTGGACGGAGAAAGTGTAAGCTCTGTCATCAGAAGACACCAGTCATGTGTGCAACATGTGAGGTGCCACTGTGCTTTCTGCCTAAAAGGGACTGTTACCATGACTGGCATAAGCAGGGTGGAAAATATTAATCATCTGGTTTGTCATTTTTTTTAATTTACATGTTACATTGTTCAAAGCATTCGATTCTAATAGTTGTTCCAGAAATGTTTCCAAGTTTAGGTGGATTTGCAGTTCCAAAGAGAGAGATGAAGCAAGAGAAGCCATCGGTGTGAGACATTAACGGTCAGGGGTACACACACACACTTACATGACCAAGTTTTCATCCTGTTTGTTCCTGCTATAGTGAGCTATCATATGCATTTATTCTATTTGGACTTTGTTTGTTCTGCTTGGTTTTGTTCTGCTTGTTTGCTCTCTCTTTCTCTCTCTTTTGCAGTGGGTGTCTTCTGATTCGGCGCCATTGGAGCAAACGTGACATGCTGGCGTGAGGCAGTACTAGGTAAGTACTCACACATGCATACAGTGTTGTAATTTTATTTGTTCTGCTTACACACTTTATTTTTCCTGTCTTTCAGTGGCTTTGGTTTCCAGTTGGTTAGAGAACAAACCGTGTTAGTGACTGCCTTGGATCAACATAAATACTGTAAATACTGTAATTGCTTTTTTTTTCTTTAGTAATTGGATATTTATTATAATTATCAGTTTATTGTAATTTATTTGAGTAAAAAACAATGTTGCAATTACAAATGTTGTTTTCTTTTTATATAATTTATTAATTAGTTGTAAAACAATCACTTTTGAAATGCATACATGAAGTGAGTTTTTTTTGTTTCACTGTTTTTGCTATCAGAATTGTTCAAAATAAAGAGTATTTTGTTAAAATGTTAAAATGTTGTGCTGAAATCATTTTTTCTTGTGTGGTTTGATGAGCAGAACAGTTCTGAATTGATATACATGTATGTAGTATGTAGTGTTTACTCCTTATGTCATTTGGTTACCAGGTGTCCATTTGGAGTCTCCAAATGGCCTTTTGGAAAGGACGCCTAGACTTTTCCTGAATAAAAGCTTACAGAAACTACATTTTTGGGAGTATCATCTTCAAATTTGAATCAGAACATGGTCAGACATTCAGTTTTATCTTTATGGTGTTTTCAGGCCTTTAACATAAAAGTCTGATACATTTTTCCCTAAATGAAGTTCATTCATAGAAATCGTAAATCACTTTCATGTAAATTTTACCTTGTTTTACTCTGTTCCTATGCTACTTTTGAATTAATATGACTCTTGGGTAACAAAGTTTCAAGTGTCTAGTTTAAAAAAATATCAGAGTTATGAATGTGGACCATATGGTTTAGGAGCTACGGACAATTGTATTTGGGTATGTCATTTTCAGAAAATTCTCAAAAATAGGGGTGCTGGTTAAGAGGTTAAAATACAGTTACATTGTTGAAATCATTGGATTACATTACAATACTTCTGTTTCATGAGTTTAGTCACTCTCTAAATAAATTAAGGCAACTCAGCATTTCCCAGAAGCCCCAATGTGAAAACGAAAAATGCGCGGTTTGCGTGATCAGTCACAATGAGTCGGAAGAGGAGCAGCGGGAGCTAGAATAGATATGTAGCCGGAACTACAACAGAGACAGGGCAAGAATGCGTTTCGATCTCGGAAATTCAAACAGCATTTCACATTAAAGAAAGAGAAGGGAGAACGAAATATAGCCTAACTGTGCAGTGCAACCTCTGCTTGCCAGCAACCAACCTCCTTTCAGCGTCCAAAGCAAGGGGGTAATCCATCAGCCGGAAGTTGAAGCTGCCTCCGGGGGCCGCCATTGTAGCTGGCTATCACCTGCTGTTAGCATCCCATTGACTCCCATTCATTTTGGTGTCACTTTGACAGCGAATAACTTTACATCTGAGGCGTCCAAAGACTCCATTTGTCCATTATTTATTTCTAAGGAAACACGACAATGTATAAAAGACTCCATTACTTTGTATCTTACACGTTATGGCCCCGTAGAAGCCATTCTTGTAAAAATAGGCTAACGATTGCGTCATAACCACGGGACGCTCTGTCGCACAGTAGAGAAATTACCGTGTAGACAGAAGTAGAAGCTCGTAGGCAATCGTTTACTGTCTATGAGGCAATCGGGTGGACATGGAGGCATAAAGTCAAGGGAGAAACCCATAGATAGAGAGTTCATAAAAACAACGGGACAAAATATTTCAGCAACAGATTTGTTTCAGATTTCAATTCAGATTTGTCCCGGCACAGCTACTAGAAGGTCAGATTTGTCCCGGCACAGCTACTAGAAGGTCAGATTTGTCCCGGCACAGCTACTAGAAGGTCAGATCGTCGTCAAACTCAGTTTGAGCCTGCGCAGTGCGCTTGGCTATCAGGAAGTGAGTGCCCATGTTGGGCTTCAACTCTCTCTGTTGAAATCAACGGGGTCGCTGTGTCCATTTCTTTTACTGTCTATGGTCCAAAGACTCCACCTCCAACCTGAAGAAGCATCTTAAAGTACAATCCGCTTGCCAGCCCATTCACTCTCAACAGCAGTCCATCTTCCAGCTCCTAACAATGCAATCGCCATGGAACCACTACCAGTCCCAGCCCATCTCCGTTCCCTAATTCTATCAGGTGCAACTATCGATCTTCCTTCTCTACTGACTTTTGTCCCTCTCAATGAATCCCACCGCTCGTTTGACTTAAATCGTTGATCTTACAAATTCTGTACAACCTTCAAAACGAGTTCTCACACTTTCAGAATTCTGCGTTGCTTTTGCCAGATACACAGAAGTAATTTGCTCTTCATTTCCAGCCAGACGCAAGGAATTAAATGACTACCTCTCTACCATAGCAGAGCTCAGTCTCTCTTTCGGAGGTAGTAATTTTTATACATACCATAAGCTTTTTTCCAGCTAAATGCGCCGCCCGCGTCACACCCTGGAACCAGTGTCCTTACTGGGGAGCCTTGGACCTCGAACTATATAACAGGGTCTTCTTAGGCGTTCGAAGCCCTTCTTGCGCCATTTGCAGGTCTATCATTCATTCTACTTCAGAATGTCCCCAAACCAACTCAGATCTTCCGAACCATTCAGCTCCTTTCCAAGAAAAATCCACTTCATATGTCCCTCAATCAAGGAATGACCGTAACCAGATTTCTACCTCAGTTCCAGGCAGACAAGTGTGCAACAGCTTTAATTCATCACGTTGCAACCGACAACGATGCCACTTCCTCCATGTCTGTAATTTCTGTGGCGGAGCTCACGCCCGTTCTATGTGCCCTGTGCGCCGCTCCTCAGCTAACTTTAACCGTCGACATTCTTAGCGCCTGCCTAACCACTCTCCGCTCAGGTCTTGTTCTCCTAACAAAACAAAATGCTAGGTCGATGGTCGTCCCTCGCCTTCGAAACATACGTTCGTTCAGATCTGCATAACATTAGACAAGCACAGCAAACACTAGCATCCCTAGCATAAGTCTGGACCGCTTCTCCCTACTATTTTGCATTTCCCCGCTTACCTAGCCCCGCAGGGCGTGTATTCATCTGGATGCAGTGAGAGCTCTCCCTTTTCAGATGTGCGTGACCTACCACTCCTGGAGTGGGGTCTCCCATCTGAATCGCCGTGTGGGCTCTTCCGTTCAGATGCATCATAGGCTCTCCCGTTCGACTTGCTGTGTGGGCTCTCCCGTTTTGATCGCCGAGTGAACTCCCTATTTATACATATGGGGGGGCTCTCTCCTTCGAAACGCAGCGGGAGCTCTCCCGGTCGAATTGCAGTGTGAGCTTTCCGTTCGGGCGCCGTGGGGGCTCTCCCTTTCCGAATCGCTGTGTGATCCTTCATGTTTTTAACCATGGAGGCTCTCCCGTTCGGATCGCAGTGTGGGCCCTCCTATCCGAAAAAATCAGGACTGGAGGTACCAAGGATCGTACGTCCCTCGAACGCGACGGGCCATTAAGTCTTTATGTGATCTTTGCCCCCTGCGTCAGAAGGAAGTTAGTTCTGCATTTCCTATGTATACCGTAGGCTCCCTCTTGCTGCGTAGGGAGTTTCGCTTCAGACACCGGTGGCCCGTTCGCCTTTAGGGACGAGGACCTTCTTCCCCATTTGTGACATCTGGAAGCCCCATGTGCTCTAACTCCATGGGGCTCCATGTCATGGATGTGGCAGGGCGTTCTCCAACCTCGTACTCAAACCTCCAGTCCCAAGATACTCCCGCAGGAGTCATTTCTGAAAGTCACTGCCGCAGCAGTGCAGCGGTGAGATGTACCCCAGTCAAATTTCCACAAGCCCATGTCGTTTCACTCCACAACGAACGCAGGCACACTCTTTAAAACACAGCTCCCGCCGGAGCTCCACTCATAGCCCCACATGGTGGGCATAGTAGGGAGACGCAGTTCCAGCCAGGAGCCCCATTAAACATATCACTGCCGCAAGAAGCGTCCATCCATGCTCCATACAGCTTTAAATTTCCACTCTTTTTGGGGGGTAACATACTTTAAGCTCTTAGGCATCCTGTATTTGATCACGTTATTCTAACTTGCTGTCCCAAATATTTATTCAACACTTTTGGGGGGTATATCAGAGCTCGAGTTGAAGCTGCTTCATCCAGCCCCTCTCCAGGCGGACAGCAAGCCAAATAAGTTTAACCTAATATCTTAAAGATTTTATGGGCAAACAAACTCGTTAAATGAAGTTCCTAAACGTAAGTTAGGGAGGAGCGAGCCCATCCAATCTTTCAATCAACAAACAGAGTATATAAGCAGCCGCTTACCTCTCCCTAGTATCAGCTGTTCCAGTATCCCTCCACCTCCCCAAACTCCACCTTCATCTTAGGTACCTTGCCCTTTAATTAACAGGTCCTACATTTAGCCACTGGGGGGTATATCAGAGCTCGAGTTAAAGCTGCTTCATCGAGCCCCTCTCCAGCGGACAGCAAGCCAAATAAGTTTAACCTAATATCTTAAAGATTTTATGGGCAAACAAACTCGTTAACAAGAAAACGTTGTGCTTTTGTAAAATAAAATAAAATAATCAAGGCATGGCCTCAAAAATAAACAGAAACACAGTGTATACTAGCCTCCCATACATGAGACATATATCTAGGCTATATAAAGCTTGAAA